GGCCTTGCGCCCCGGGGGGTCCCGTGCGCCTCAGGACCGGCGGCTGGACCGCGGTCGCTGTCCACCGAGGCCGTCAGGGTCCTGTGCGCGCCCCTCGCCACAGGCCACGGTGTGGGGGAACATTGAGGGGTGAGCCCCACGGGGCCCGGTTGGGCAGAAACTCCCCGGGAAGCTGAGGCCGCGTTGCGTCGGCCGCCTGGGGCCCCCCTCCCCGAACTCCTTGGGGTGAGGTCCCTTCTTCCCCCCACCCCGGCAGGCGCAGGCTGGGCGCCTCGAGCTTGCCCGGGTAGTGGGGGTCTCGGCGCTGCTTGGCCGTGCCCAGGCGTCCCGGGGCTGCCGGGAACGGGGTGCAGATACTCCCCACCGGGCGGAGTCTTCCGTGAAGGGTCCCGGGGTGCCTCGCCCCCACCCCACGTCTCAAGAAGAGCGCGGCGTGGGAAGCCAGCCAGGCAGCGTCTAAACCTGTGTCGCTCTCTCCTCGGACAGGGGGTGGCCGCCGCCGCGCCAGCGCCTCATCGCCGGAGGTGAGGGGAAGATGAGCATCACCAGTGACGAGGTGAACTTCCTGGTGTACCGCTACCTACAGGAGTCAGGTAAGGGGCGCGTCCTGCCCTGTGCGGGCTGACCCCTGGGGCCCCCCTGCCGGACACTGCCGCGCCCGGCCCCCCAGGGCGGGCAGACAGAGTCGCACGCGTAGTCCACAGTCCTGGCGGTTCTCAGCGGGCCGGGCCCGTGGCCTTCGCTTCCCGGGGAGGCCGGTGTCCTGATGTCGGGCGGGTGGGTCCGGCCGTCGCGCTCCCTTCCCGTTTCGGTGTCCGCGAGCACCTCCGTGTGGTCGCTCTGGAGAGGGGAGCGCGCCTCGTGAAGCCCGTTTCCGTGTCTCGCGGGGACCCAGACCGGCCGGTCTGCAGGGCCGCCGGGCGCCCCGCCGGCGTGGCCACGGGGCGCGGCTCTCCGTGTGCGTCACCCGGGGGTCCCTGGTGCCCTCCCCCTGGATGTCGCGTTGCCACTTTTCTGCTAACAGAAACTCTCTGCCTTTGCCCACGTGCGCGAGACTGCTGGAGCAGACGGGGAGATGGAGTTCTTCCCTCCCTGGGGTGTCTGAGGAGGAGAAAACCATGCCGCTCTCGTTCATGGCTCCGTTGTTGAGCACGTAACTTTGCTTTCCGTAAAGAGACGTCATCTCGTTGCGTTGGTTTCATCTCCCCGCCGCCTCGCCCCTCGGAGCGGCAGGGTGTTTCCGGGGTCTGCCAGTTCCCGAAAGGGTCTGTGTTGTCGAGTTGTGTGCTGTGGAGAGGCCCGGCATTTGCTTGTGATCCTCCTGGCTCGACTGGCTTGGGCGCACACCACTCTCTGAATTTCACACCCACCCAGCCTCACACCCACCCCATACCGTTCCGCCGAAAACCGCTGCGTTCCGTCCTTTTTCGTGGCTGCATAGTACTCCGCGCCGTGGCCATGCTGCATCTTCCCGACCCGGTTGTCCTTGGACGGCCACGGAAGCCGCCTCCGTGTCCTGGCGACTGTTCGCCGCAGGACATACCAGCTTCTGTGCTGAGGGTTTTGTGTTCTGCGGGCGGCCCGTGAGAGGGGGTGCTGGCGGCCGTTGTCCACGCCGTTCAGCCCTGCGGGCGGATCTCCTCTTCGGCGAAACTGCCTGTCCGTGTCTCGGGCCCACGTATCACGCGTCGCGTTGTTTTCTTCTCATTGAGCTTTTTACTGAGTCCTGGTTATTCAAGCCCTCGTTGGTTACGCGTTGTGTGTTCTCTTGCCCCGTGTGGCTTTGAACCTGAGGTCACCCCCCTTTTATTTCTCTTGCCACGGCGGGGTGGGGGTGTTGAGTCATCGGAAATGCCTCGGTCGCTGCTACCGCAGAACCTTCCCGCGACGCCGTGCTCCGCGTGTTTTGCCGCTGCGGGTCTCAGGTCTGCGTCCGTCGTCCACTGGGAACTGACGTCCGGGGACGACGTGAAGGAGCCGACCTCTGCCCGGCCCCGGCCCCGGCCCCGGCCCCTGAGGAGACCGCCCTCCCCGCGTGTCGGGAGTGGCGCCACCTCGCCTCAGTGCCGCCTTCCGGCACTCCTCTGGGAGACACGGCTGATGGCCGCCGTTTTTGAGGCTGCCGGTTCTGCCCGTCTGCCCCCGTCCTCCCGTTGGGGTGACTCCCGGCGCGGTTGTGCGTGGAGGCATTTCCCTGACTTCTCTCGCTTTGGGCTCGTGTTTACGTCATCTGGCTGCGGGTCTTCGCATCTCGTGCAGTGACCTTGTCTCGAGTCTTATTTTGCTTCCTTCCTTTGCTACCTCTAGTAACCTTTTTTTTTTTCCCCTAAGACTTATTGATGCACACAGACCTGGGCTGCAGGCCAGAGGGGCAGGTGAGAGGACGCCCCAGAGACAGAGCGGGGAGCAGCACAGGACAGAGTCCACTGCTGAGGGGACAGCGGGGAGACGGGGTGGGGGAGGTCTGCCGTGCCCTGGGGGGGGTCACCTCCAGGACCGGGGATTTTAGTGCCTGTGTCCGACTGACAGCTCCGACCGGAGCGCGTATCCTCCTCTTGTGCCGGACCCACCTCGGTCTCCGACGTCCCGCGTTCAACGTGTCGGCCGTGGGCGCGCCACGCGTGGCCATTACAACGTGCCGGGCCTCCTCGCCCGCGTCCCGTTCAGACGGTCACAGCCGGCTGCCGGACCCTCCCGTGCATCCGCCGCCTCGTGGGCGGGACGCGGGTGGACTGGCGGCCGTCCCTGCGGGCCTGGGGCGAGGTCGTGGTCGGCGACACGTGCGGCCAAACGTTCCTCTCACTCTGCTGCTGTTTTGGCGCCCCGAGACGCGGCCAGGCGCCGGCGGGCGGGCGGGTGGCAGCAGGTCGGTGTCCCGTGTGCGGTCACCTGCCCGTGCTTCCGTCCCTTGGGCCTTGTGCATCAGCACTGCTGTTTCCGAGCTGGAGGCTGCGGCTGGACGCTGTGGGAGACCCGAGGACCCCAGTCCCGGCGTCCGTGAGCAGCTACGCAGGGCGGTAGGCCTTGACGGGGGTCCTGCCTCTGCTCGGTCCTCCCGGGCGCTCCCGCCTCTCGGGGGATTGAGTGGCCTTTGTGAGCTGCCGAGGTGGCTGGTGCTCCGGAGAACCGAGTGGGGATGATGTGTCCTCTTCTCCCCCTTGGGGGGGGAGCAGTAAAATGTCCTTTCAGAAGGTCACAGTGACAGCAACCCAAGCGCCGTGGATAAAGACGTTGTGGCCCGTCTGCGCGGTGGAATATTACTCGGCCCCGAAAAAGGAGGCTGCCGGCCACTTGCTGCGGCGTGAGCTAGCCTTGCGGGGGGGGGGGGTTCGTGCTGCGTGACGTGAGCCGGCCACGAAAGACCGTGATTCCACTTGTGTGGGGTGCCCAGAGCCCTCAGCTTCTTAGCGCCGGAGAGAAGAGGGGTGGGTGCTGGGATTAACGTCCCTGTGTGACAGGTAGGACGCTGCACGTGCCGGTTGTTGCCGCTTGGAAAAGACAAGCAGCCGCCGGCATCCGCAGGAGCGTTAGCTCGTGGAAGGGCCTTCCCCAGGGGAACGGGCCGGGGTGAGAGGCAGGTCTTCGCCCCGCACGGCGCCGTCACCTGTCTGGCGTCTCCTGAAAGCTGTGGCTTTTGTAAACAGAGAAGCGCCGTCTCACTTGCGAGAACGGCAGCTGCCCGGGTCCCCTGCAGCGCGACTGGGCTCCCCCGAGCGCCCGGGGAGGCGTCCGTGCCGCCGCGGGGTCAGCTGGCATGTAGTTGTGGACTCGGCGGCTCCGTCACCGTGCGGTGGGCCTCGGTTTGGATGGGGGCGTCGTGGTGTTGAAGGGGTTGGCGCTGCAGTCACACTAGCCGGTGTGTGGGTGGGGCTGGTCCTCTCTCCCCGTCTTCAGTGCGCCTTCAGTGTTCCCAGAGCTCCCTTGCGTGTGACTCGGCTTGAAGGGCCCCGTGACGGGCAGGCTGACCCTCGGCGTTCCGAGCGTTCGGGGACGCAGCCGACCGTGGGTGCCGGGTCTTAACCCCGGAGGTACTCTGAGCGTCTGGGCGTCGCTGGGGCGCAGCCGGCCCGGTGAGGCAGCTCTCGGTTGGGAGTCCTGCTTGCCCGCCCGCAGGACACGCCGGCGCGACTGGACGAGGCTCGGGCTGACCTGCAGCCGGCTCAGATGCAGGCTCACCGCCGGGGCTCTCCGCGCTGCTCGAGCGGCCCCTCGTCCGAGGAGGAGACTGACGCGGCGGTGACGCCGAGCTCTCCGGCGGTCCCGCGGGCCTCGCCCGAGAAATGGCCTCAGGGGTCCGGTTCCGCCCAGTCCACGGCCCGGGCCGGCCGCTCCTGGAGAGCCCGCGTGCAGCGTCTGGGGCGCTTAGGTCGGTCACGTGGTCCCGCCC